TGCGTTCGACAGCATTTTAATTCGGAAACGCCTCGAAACGCAATCTTGAAAAAAGCGTTTCGGATCGTTTCAAAAAACGACTGTGGCAAAACGCATTTTATGTAAGTAAGAATGCTGCGAAACGCGTCCTATATTGCAAAAACGTTGCGAAACGCATGCTACAATCTCAGAAACGCGTTACGCAGTCCGTTTCCTTCAATATTTTACTCCATGGGTGATGAAAATAAGAACGCATTCATTCCCTCACGACATTTAAATGGTAAGAATGTATTTTCATTGTAAAATAACACTTCAGCAATGGCTTTTGAAATCCGTGAATTTCTGCATATTCCAATATGACCGAGAAGAGTGATTATTGATGGTGCATCAGTATATCCATCACTACAAACAAAACCCACAAACAAGCCACGTCCCTCACATTGCATAGTTGAGTTTACATGCCATAACTCAAAGTTCTGTTCGACTTTGTTGATTTCATCGGTTCCATCCAAGCAATCTGGATTAAAAGGATCATCATGATATAATTCCAAAGGAATACATTGTCCATTCTGACATTGGAATTCATTATCATTGCAAACATTGAATTCAAGATTGAAACAACCATATTCGTCAACTGCATTTGTACAGTCTAGTTTTCCATCACATATTTGTCGCCAATCGAGACAAATGATCGAATGATTAAAATCGCAAGTTGGCGAAAGCATAAAACATGGAATAGTGATTTCTTCGTTGATACCATATTCTTTTAGTTCGAAGACATTTCTGACAATTTGATGAAAAGAAATGAACCATTCGAATGAATATTGACAATATTGACCAAAAAAACCATGCGTACAATTATAAAAGACTTGTTTTGAAGTTTGGGTAGAAGGATTGTTCAAATAATGTTCATAATGCTCGACAATGTCAATTGGTGCTGGCCACAAATACAGTTGTTCACTTGTGATTTGCTTTTCATGAAGTTCCTCAAACTTCCAAATTGTTGCATTAGATGAAGAAGGAAATTGTTCAATCGAGGTCATATTCTCGGGACGTAAACAATATTCAATTATTTCTAATATTGGTTTCATCACTGACTCCGATTTAACAATAGAGTTTGTCGCATCGTAGTAAAAACAATAGCTCTGTAATTGAAATTCTCTTACTTGATCAGTCATGTAAGCATTTAAAAAAGATGTCAATTGAATTTGTGATAGAGTCATCATCCAGTTTAAAACAATAATTATATGCTGTAATGTTGTCATCATAATAGTCAACTATATGACAAACATAAAAAGATTTGTTTTGCACTGTTGTCTCATACGCGATCATTGTATCGAAGACATCATCAAATAAAACGTTTTTTTTTTTGAGCGTGATTTTTCTCTGCTTCAAATTAAAATCATATTACCACATCTCAAAAAAAAAAATAAAATAAAATAAAAGTCCAAATGTAAATTTGATTTCTTTTAGAAAAAAAAATGTAAAAGATGTCGCAAGTGTGAACAAAGAGAGGATTAAAACCTGTTTCCGTGACAATTGGGACATAAGATGAAGCGGATAGTTGAGTTTCGTCCTTGCTTAAAGTACTCATCAAGTACGTTCGGAATAAGTATAAATAAAATCTGTATGGAATCGAAATATATCCCAAAAATCAATGCATGATTCTTTTGAATTTCGGTTACGGTTTTTTCTGTAAAGAGTTTTAGTTTTTGATTTAGGGTGTGGGTGTGGGTGTGGATGTGGGTTATTCTTTTTCAATCACCCACACCCACTTCTCTTTATAGCAGACTCGGTGAAGTGTACTTAGAAACAAAGGACCACCCAAAAGCACTTCTCTTTTTTGAAAAAGCGCGTACAACCTGGCAAAAAACTCTTCCTTCCAATCATCTTCATCTGGTCCATTCGTATTATTGTATCGGCAAAGTGTATCAAGCCATGGGAGATCCTATAAAAGCACTGCCATTTTTCAAACATTTTGTTGAAATGTTTCGAAATTAACTGAACGACTAGCGTCCTCGAAAAGATACTTTCGTGAAAGCGTGGGTGTGGGTGTGGGTGTGGCTGGGTGTGGGCGTTTGTGTGGGTGGGTGGGTGTATGAGTGTGGGTATGGGTGTGTGCGTGTGGGTATTCATTAACTGAGGATCTATAACGACTTCCACACACCCACACCCACCCACACCCACACCCACACCCACCCACACCCACACCCACACCCACACTCACCCACACACCCACACAAACGCCCACACCCAGCCACACCTACACCCACACACCCACACCCTCGACTCGAACTCCGATTCTCGAGTTCGAATCGGTCGGACTTAGTTGCAATTGGAATTGATCCGATTACTACTTCAATAGTTCGAACTGGAATCGATTAAAGGCGGGAAGTTATCGTTAAGCAGGCAGTTACTGGGTAACCGACGATTCCTGGATTGATTCTTTCGTCAAAGCAAAGCTGTTATGTGAAACTAGCAATTTTTTATAAAGTTTGATCAAACGTAATCGGGGTCGAGGAAATGCAAATCTGTAATCAGTTTCTCGAAATTGTGTGTTTGATTCCTCGGTCAAGTTAAGTCTACTCTGAAAACCTTTGACAAAACTTTATAAAAATAAGCCGCTATTTTATCAAAAGAAACCCTCTCTTTGTTGGCAAAATCAGCTACACAATTTCGCGAAACCGATAGCAAATTCGGATTCTCCAACCCCGATTATCTTTAGTCAAATTTTACAAAAAATTGCTAGTTTTGCATAATAGCTTTGCTTTGACGAAAGAATCAATACAGGAATTTTCGCTTACCTAGTAACTGGTAAAGTAAGTATCTATGTAACGGTAACTTCCTTCCTTTAACCAATTCCCATTCCCACTTATTATGATTAGGTCAAAATTCGAATCAATGCATTCCTAATAACAGAAACTGTACTATATTCAGACCGGTGCGTGCTGCGCACCGTATACCGGTGAGCCAGTCGACAGTGCACTGATGGTATGGTGGCACCGGACCACCGCGACCGTTGCATTCGTAACCCATACCGACACCTTTATTAACGAACTAAAGCCAAGTTTACCGACAGTAGTTTTGAAAATAGAATTTTCAAAAATTTTATTACTGTGGCTGTAATTGATTCCGAAAATTCTCTCGTGATCGAAACTAAATAACCGTGGTCACGCAGATCTCTCAATAAAATAGATAATTGAGAAGTTCAACTCTCAGCTAATGTACTCGCTTGTCAAAAGAGAAACGTTTTGTTTTCCAACTATTGCGTCTTGTCAAGAATGCATTGATGTGCATTTTACCGTCTTGTTTTAGCATCTTTCTTGTGCAAATGATTAGATAATCTTGAAATTTGATATTATACCCATGCAATTACACCATAAGAATAGACAACCACAGTTTTGATTTATCTTCAAATAAAAACAATCAAGAAATTATTTAGAGAAATGATTGAAGCTTCCTTTATTCAATTACTTCACATTTTTTTGTTAGAGATCTAAAAAGTATGATCAACTAATAAAAGAGAGAAAGATATTTTAAGATTTATGTCTATAGCGCTGAAGAATGAAATAGAAGCAAGGTCATTTAGAACATTTGTCTATTAGAGTGTAATAGAAAACAGATCAAGATCTTCGAAGGAATGATCTAACCCATCGCTGTATTTTCTTATCAAATTCATCCTTGTAAGTTTTTGATGGTAAAACAAACACGAAAAACGTTAATATTGATGGTATGAAAGATACAAAATAACCAATAAGATATAACCAAGGTTGACGTGGTGATCTCATACATCCACTGGTGAATGAAATAATAAGACGTGGCAAACCTAATAATAACAAAATACAAGGTGCAATAATAATGTGTTTGTGGTGTTTGAATTTTATTCGTAAATGTTGCTTGAGTGATTGTTTCGATTCTGCTTTAAAACGACTATAAGCTGTTACTATAATAAGTACCAAAGCAGATATAAAATTGGTTGAAAAAGGAACAAGAAAATGAAAGAGAGTGATAGTTGTATTATATTTAGTTACTTCAGATGAATATTTAGCAAAACACCATATTCGTTTTTGATCTCCATCTAAATCATCAATCAATTGTCGATTAAGTGGATCATGAATATGTGTAAGTATCGTGAAAATGATTACAACAAAAATCATTCGTTTAGCTATTGTCTTACTCTTGTTCTTGTCAAATGTCATACCTTTGATGACACTAAACATTCTTTCAATAGCTACGCAAGCATTAAGCCATTCACTTGATGCTAAACAAGATTTAAGAATTATTTCAATTGAAACACAATTAACAAAGAGTATTGATCTATTAGTTATGAATGACATTTGTGAAAGAATGAGTAGCCAAAATTTAATTGTTAATACAATAATCATACACATTGAACTAATCGACGATGCTAGAAGATAATAACCACAACCAACTTCTCTTATTTTTTTCAATTGAAATGTTGCTATAGATAGTGAACCCATGATTAATTGTGAAATCAACATAATTGTAGTGATAGTAATACTTAATTTGACAATAAATGGTTGTTGATGAAATGAAATACTTGGTTTGATATGATATCCAAGAATTGGATCGAGTGAAAAGATGAAACTTTTTGTTGAAAATTGACATTGTGTTCCATAGTAACAGTCATTACATACACATGTAAATGTACTTGGACAGGTTTTATTGTTAAGAAAACATCGACCGTCATTATAACAAAGATTTTTTCCACTACAATCATATCTGATCGTACGATTAAATTCGAAACAATTTGAAAAACGATCAGTATCACATATACACGTGTATTGTTCCTCGTAAAAACACATCAATTGTGAATATTGACGACATAAAAGTGGGTAATATTTAATCCGACGTAGATATTCATATTGGCGAAACGTCTCATTAAGAAGATCATGAACCGACAAACAACGGTTCGTTAGTGACATTTGAGTATGAATATATTCTGATGATATATATCTTTCTCGTAATACAGTGAGATAATAATCACCATCAGGTATTTGTATGAAAATAATGTTAAATTGTTGTTTTACATAAATTGTGATAGTATGGTGAGCGAAAGCAATCTTTTTCAGTGTAGTTATTTGTTCATGTTTTGCTACTCGGTCAAATGCTATTATGTAATGTATAAAGAATGATGAACTTCTTGTTAGTATTGTCTCGTCTATACGAATATCGATTTTATTCCTTGTATATTGACATCGTTCACCATGATAGTCTTCTTTACAAACACAAATAAATGCATTTAAATTAATACGATCATCCATTGGTATACAAAGTCCATTGTGCTGACATGGATTGTTCGTTGATTGACATATCGACCTTTTCAAATAACAACGTGAGCCGAACTTGTTCAAGGGACACACACAGATAGATGGAGCAAGACATAATGAATCGTTTGAACATTGACATTGATGTATAATATTACAGAAAGTACCAGAATATCCTTGATCACATCGACAAAAAAATAACTTGTTCATATTTGTATATCTCACACATCGGCCATGCTCTCCACATGGCAAATTGCATAGTTCATTTTCTCGTACTTCAGGAATGATTAACTGAGTTGATATTCGATTTACAGGAAGAAACTGAAATGGAATTGGCAAATACCAACTCGTCCAATAATCTAATATTGACTTGTCAAAAAGATCAATACGAATCGAATAATTTGTTGATGAATGTTTGGGACGATGTGGATAAAGTAGATAGATGTTAAATTTTGTATTACAATTATGAGCAGGCATATATATTATTTGTTCATGAGTGAATGCAATAGTTCCTTGTTCATCAATAAGCATGATGATTAATTGATAAATAACTGTAGAATAAATAATACTACTCATTCTAAACTGTAAAGTCAAACTAACACGTTGACTTTGCCATTGACATTGAGAACCAAAGTAATTTGGTGGACAGAGACATGCTTTTGTTTGATTAACACCCTTGAATCGAATGAGAACACCATAATGACAATACCAAGCAAGTGCAATATCCATCTTAGGTATATTCTTTTTGTTTTCATATTTGTCGAAAATGTTTTCAACAGAAGTCGTAGATGTTGTTGATGGAAAATAGCCAAGTCGCGAAGGAGTGAAGACGCGATTGCGAATATCATAACGTGCCTGTCTCACAAACTCAATAGTGCATAGGTATGTATTATCATTATCGACCATGTGGACTGTACTAGCCGGCGCGACTACCAACTTGAGTATTTGATTTCTAAGGCATACGTCTTCTTGTACATTTGTTGTTTCTGAATAAGGATTACAAATATTGTCTTCACTGATGCATTTGGATTTGTTAAATGAGTAGTAATATTTGCTAATGTCATGTGTTCCATTGTCGAAGTAGAGTTGATAAACCAATCTATTTTTCGAACAGTCATCTTTCCACTTATGAAACATGTGAACAAATGGTAAACAATAAGTTAAATTCAAATCTTTGTTTCTGCATTCAAATTCATTTAATGAACAACTTATACCGGGACAATTAAGTTCATCTATACCATTAAGACAATCCCAAACCGTATTACAATATGTGTATGGAGTGTTACATGGCCACCATTCACAGTTTGTATAATAAGTTTCAATGCCATTTGCTGGTGAAATGGATCCACGAGTATTACATATATGGAAAAACGGTGTTGGTTGCTGAATGCCATACATATTTTCAGTTGTCTCATCCTCTCCTTTTGGACAATTTGTATATCCATTCCCAATCGCTATAGGCAACAGGCACTTGTTTGGATCTGACTTACACATAAAACGATTTGAGTCGTTCAGATGACATGTAGGAAATGATTCATCTTCATTATAAAAACAATCTTTGAATCCATCACCAACACGATTATATGAAATGCATTTAAAAGATTGATTACAATGAAAATAGGATGAATTTTCACATGAGTTTTCATTACTGGTAGTCGAACATTGAGAATAGATGAACGAAAAATTTATGTTCAATTGATGAAAATGTTGTATCGTCTGTACTTGAATAAGATCAAAAATGCGGCAACATGTCAGACCATCAATTATTTCAATTGGAACTATTCTCGATAATAATATAGGACATTTCTGTGCATCAAAACATACAAAGTCCGGTGCACAATTGATTTTAAATTCGTTAATCGATCGATTAGTCAAATAGACAAATTGAAAATATCCATACAAAACAGGATATTCAGGTAAAAGTAGCCATTCATCGACACAATACTTTGCTAGAGGTTCACAGTTTGTATCCCAAGTAACTTCAAAGTATTCAATTAACTCATGAATGAAAAACCTGGGATGGTAATCTAGAGTAACGGAAAATTACACAAGAGAGTTATGTATAATAAGAATAAATTGGAAAATATCGAAACATAAAATACTGAAGAAAAAATAATAATGGCCACGATTTACATATGGACAAAATCATTTGTTAGCACCATGAATTTGCAAAATTAAAATACGTGTGTCTTGGGATAATGAACTTTTCTAGAGCTAATTTTCATCTATTACATGTATGTTATGTTGCTCTACATAATCCAAAAAAACCAGCGCTAGAGGGCTCTGCCCAGAGGAGCTATTAGTAAGAAACGAGTGTTAGCGACGTGCACAAAAAAGGACACCGATTTTTACTTCATGTATTTAAAAAAAACCCTGAATTGATGTTGCATTTATCAAAAATAAATAGTACATACTTCAGGTAGCTCCTAAAGCTACAAAATCTCTATACAAAGTTTTTCTGAGTATCCCTAGATTTTTTAAATTATTCGATTTACTTTTCATTAGCGACGTGACGGCTTACGAATAGAATTACAAACGAAAAAATGCTCCTATTACTGAATAAGAAGTTCAAAACCGATTTCAAAGAGTACAAATCCTTCTTCAGAGTCTCTAAGTGATAGTAAAATAGAAATTTTTGTTTCAGGACTTGATTGAGTCTTTCGAAAACCAGTTTTTATGAGGAAGTTTTTAGAGTTCAATCTTGCTGAAAATTTCAGCATAGATGCGGTTTGTGCCGTAAAGTCTATGCTGAAGTTTTCGGATTTTTTTCTCATGTGATTAGAAAGATATTCGCTAATTAATATTTAATTAATAATCAGCTGAAAGAGCCAACATTTTTACATATGCCTATGCTAAAAGAACTTACGAGAAAAAAAACTCTTATAAAGAATCAAAGTTAAATGAAAGGTTGGTATGTCTCATTGTGCATGAAATTGCTCATATAAAAATGTGATAATATGCGATATTATTTATTTCAGTTTTTGTGTTTAAACAATGAATCATAAATACGGAGTATTTTATGCAAAGAAAAAGAGTAATAAGTAAAATATATTATGAGAATATTATTTTATCTTTTAATTTTTCTGATGAATGTAAATAGTTCAACAACAATTGTTATGCATTGATGTTGTTGTTCTTCAATTTGGAAATCCATGTCAGTGAGTCGTATTTTTGTCCTCAAACTTATTTATTTTAGATAGTCGTTTTTATATCGATACTTCAATTCCAAATAAAAGTAACATGCGTTAGCATCTTGCATAGTTCTTTTTGACATTATCTTCTACAACATACAGTTTTCAATATTTTAGTTTTAATCCTTTTTCATGTCCATAGATTCTATCTCTCATACGGTGATGTCAGCTTACACTCTTTGAACATTTTGTGTTGCAGGTTTTTTTTCCCACAAACTGCTACTTCGATCATCTCTCTCGTCTTTCATGCTATTATTGAACTTATTAGTGTACTAACTATGTACAATGACGACTTAGAATTAGTTGAAAGTTGTCACTTGGGTGTATTGCAACCAATTTTCAAATATGATTTATTGGTTGAAAATTGTTCTCGATCGATAAAAAACCAGCGTTGCAAGATAACGAATTTTTTTTTCTTTATTCTTTTGTACTTTTGTTAAATTATAAACTCAATTCACGTAATGACTATTTCAAATCCATAGTTAAAATAGATTTCAATGTTTAATGTCTAATTAAAAATGTAGATGAACACTGGATCAAACTTATTCCATTTGACTTGAGAGATTATTCTCAATTTAATATTAGATTGAAAGACTGATATTAGTTGGTTGGGTTTTTCTCTTATCTATTATAAAACAATTAAGCTCATATATACTTCAATTTTCAACCGAGACAAAGAAGAAAAATTTGAGATATACCTATGTTGTGAACTAAGTCTGTCGCAAACGCAACTGATTCAAAATTGCAACCAATTTCCATTAGGAAGCAGGCGTCGATTGAGAAATCATTTATCCTCTTGAGGGTGTAAGTGTCGATCAAGACACCAGAAGACACACACACCCACCCACATCACATCCACACCCACCACACTCACACCCACACATCATCACACACTGACACCTTTGAATAAGTTTATATAAGAAAAGCAGAAAAGTCAATGTGATAGATTGGTGAACGACCGATCTACAGGTAATAACTGATCTCACAGAAGACCAACTGGTTTCTGGCACCATTTCTATCTCTACCTGACGTTAACCATTTAGTGTTATCTTATATGTTTTAGCTAGTACAAATATACATGGAAATGTCACTTTCTCTTACGATGATCTTTAGAGAAGTCATTTTTATGGAAAAAGTCCTACTAAAGACAAAACGAACAGAAGGGCTTAAAAGTGTCAAATAGGCTCAATAAATTTGTTATGCCCAATCAAGTTGAGTCATATATAAATGGAAGTGCATATTTACATTAACATTTTTTTTTATTTTGAGTTCATTGAATCACTGCTGAGCCGAGTAGGAATAACAATCATTCACAAAGTAGTTATCACTTCTAACACTCATTCTCACGATTATTGCGTGTTAAATATGTTTACGAATTCGTCAGAATTAAACTACAATATCATAGTAGTTCGATCAGATTTTATGCAACCTCGAATTTTATGTATGATTTCATTATTCAGCGATGCTCTTTCGCTTGCTAAAGTAACACAAACTGACTTTATATAGCTTTCCAGTCATACTTCTCTGGGCATACTTCGCCTAACAAATAATTTATCAATGCAAATCTTAGACTGGCCATTTTCTAGGATGTCTTATACAATAGCCCTTGGGAGAAGCAACAATACTGTGTATTTTCCAAAGGGAAAAGCAGTTGGAATGGAAAGAGGCCTGAGCAGGAATTAGTTTTCTCCAAAAAGTCGATGAAGAGTGCAATTCAATGCAATAGCATTTCAAGGCAATCGAAGTTGGGTGTACATAATATAAACTTTTTCCTACAGTAAAAAATGCGCAAAAATATTGTCCCTTTCGACCGACTGATACATAACTATCAAGCGTTGAGACAAATTGTTCGATTTATACAGAACTCAAAACCATATGCTTTACAGCAAATATTAGTGTAGGCTCCTAAAAAACTCTTATTGTCTTGTAACTCCTTCTAGTAGAAGTGTTTTTCAATGTTGTTCACCACTGAAGGCTATCACAGTCGCGACAACTGTTAACCAATGCGATAACTGCCGAATATCATTCGAAACTCTCAAGCTCGTACTAAGTTTTCAAAAATCAGACAAACTCATTGTTGCAGAAGAAGGTGAAGAGTTAATAATTTACATTTTAAGGCTTTAGCTATTGCATACCACTCTTTGAAAAACAGATAAAACACTTGAGTTTTCTCAGTAGATAAATAAATATACAATTATTCATACTTACCATAACTTCGATTGGAAAGAAGTAAACAACGAAATGCTTGTTGACATTTAATATCTTTAATGTGGTCGAACGAAGTAAGCATGGCTAAAGTCACTTGTTTATGTCGTTCGTTGGAACACTGATGCGCATTATCTGGCAATTCGGTCGCTTCCAAAAATTGACCATTACCACATGGAAAAGCCCGAGGATATCGATTAATACTCTCTTCACATCGAAATGTGATAAATAAACGACAAAGAGTATTTCTCAGCGACATATACATGATATCGTTCTCTACCTCTTCACTACTGTCGAGACAGTCAAAACTTAAGGTGCTGTCTCGTGCAAATATCAGCGGAATACATTGACCACCATAATGACATCGATATTCATCATCAGCACATGTATTCATCTCTAATTTTTCACACCATTGTTCGTCTTCGCCATTCATACAATCAACTTTACCATTACATATTTGCCTCCAGTCGAGACATAAAGACCATGGTCCACGATGACAATCAGGTAAAAAGCGATAACATGTGGTAACACTTATGTTGAGCATGACATTCGAACGACTGTTCGCAGATTCTCTAACAATTTCATTAAACGAAAAAGATGAATCGTAGACAAATTGATATTGACATTTCGAACCAAACCATGGTGATGAACAGTTATAGAATAATTCTGAACTTCGATTATTTCTTTCATATCGTTCAACAAGATCGATGGGTGCTGACCAATTAAGAAGTTGTTCACTTGTTACACCTTGTTCGCTCAATTCTTTAAAAGTAATATTGTTTGCTATATTGTCATCCAATATAACTGAAATCTCTGCTTCTTTTTCATCATTATCAGGTCGTCGACAATAGGGAGTCAACTGATTGTTCACAATATAAGTAGTATACTGATTTAATTCACCTTCAATCATTTGAGTGTACAAACAATCAAATGTCAGATACGAAGTCTGACGAATATCGGAATAATATAGTGAATATTGAGTATGCACTGCATTATGCAGAGCAAGAAATATCATTATAGCTATAATCAGCATTCTTTCACGATCTGTGTGAAAAGTGATAATAATCAACACTGTTAGATTCCTAGAATACATCAATCAATAAAATGAATTTTTTTCTGTTTTGCAGAAACGCTAATGAAAAGAACGCATAGTATGTTTCTGCTCGTTTTCTTGAATTAAAAAGCATATGTGGCTCCAGTTTCAACAAATTATAAATCAAGGTCCATAGATTAAGGGGACGCCCTCTATCCGGATATGAAAATTAAAATTTTTTCAATTTTTGGTTTTTCATCACTAATATAGCTTCGAGGTGTCCTTTGTCAAATGCCATATAAATGAGGGATCTTCGCTGTTAGCTAGGAAGTTTATTCAGTCCAACTCTAAAAATTCCTAGCAGAAAACTCGTACTAGGATTATTCTATTCTATGCAAAATTTTCCTATGATGATGATAATTTCTTATTTCAAAGGGACTTAGCGCATTAGTCATGGACCCGTAACATCACTGAACGCGGCCAGCTTTCCATCAATCTAGTTGAAAAAAAGTCCTAATATATACGGAAAATCTTGTATTTCGATTTTCTCGAAATCGGTTTTTACACAAAAAAAGTTCAGAATCGCGCCCGTTTCTCCAGTAACTATGTTCAATCGAGCTGAAACTCTTATTTGCAGTACTAGACACTGTTTGGAGTGCCTAATTTTTTTTATTTTGGAAAATATTGCTCTGATGATTCTGTGGAACTCATATATATTTTTGAAGAAAATAGTGAGTGTAAGTTTTAAGTCGAAGTTTTCCGGCTCCTCCCCTTCACCCCCTCCATTACAGACACCCCCCTCCCCCACCCATTACAAACCTTAGCAACCGAGTTTAAATAAATGATATTTATGACTGCCATGTTTGCTATTTAATTCCATGCTTATAATAGTAACAATGTTAAATCAAGAAAAGTGACATACGAAAATGAAAAATAACGAGCGAATAACAACAATGAAAACAAGTAATACGGCGTCTGTAAAAAAAAATATTAATCTGTTCAAAATGCAGAAATAAATAAGATAGATCCTTACTCTGGTGGCCGATTATCTTTGGAAACAACTAAGATCTATGAGAGATTTTCACTGTATGTATTTTGTATTAATTTAACGAGGTTAAAGAACTTATGTGAGTTCCAAATTTCAGTCCCTACGGGGCTGCGCTTACAAGCTTTTTTGGTAAATTTCACAAAAAGCTCCAGTAAAAGAACATTTGTTTTTGGGGGTACGCTCCGTGTTTTGATCTTTTTATTCGAATGAAAGGAGATAAAAAGAAATCGAAAAAAGTAGGCATCCAAATAGTGTCTGGTATATGTAAAAAGCTTGTTAGCGCAGCTCCTTTGGAGCTGACATGTGGAACTCACATAAATCCTTAAACCTTAAGATTCTAGTACATCATATGTAAACTGAAAAATGTCTTGTATACTGTAGTTGTTTTCATTGATAATCGATGACAAGAGCGAGACTTAATTACTTATTTCTACATTTAAAACAGAAAATTTTTCTGTTTGAGAGCGCCCGATTTCATTTATAATTGTTGTTATGCGCTCGATATTAGTCACTTTTTTGTTTTTTATTAATTTGACATTATTATTTTGTGGAACTCACGTATGTTTTCGAAGAAAATAGTGAGTGTAAGTTTTCAGTTCGAGGTTTGGCGGCTCCCCCCCCCCCCCCCCCCCCACCCCATTACAGACACATAGCAACGGGAAAGAGAACATTACAGACATACCCCCCATTACGGACATACCCCCCATTACAGACACCCCACCATTACAGACCATAGCAACGTAGGCTACCATTACAAACAACCCCCCATTACAGACCTTGGCAACTTCGTGAAAAAAAAATTCTGTTCGAAATTGAGAGATAAAAATATAGCATTTTCTAATAATCGATTATCTTTAGAAAAGAACTATTATCTTTTGGAAATTTTAAATATTGAGTATTTTGTCATTAGTATAATGAAACCAAAGGAGATATGTGAGTTCCACATTTTAGCCCCAAAGGGGCTGCGCTAACAAGCTTTTTCTTCACCATCGATTATCTCATAAATCAGACCGTTATAATAATGCACTATATATGCACCGGCAGATCTTACTGTACTACTATATATCTGAATCGACTCATAAATGGTGATATCGTTTATTTGTTAAACTGATAAAAAGATCGAATCAATCTTTTCATGTTGATTATATGATTGGTATGACAGATCAATCTATTACTACTCTTCATTCTTCATTTTTAAAATACAAGTTTAAATTCTGAAAAAAGTCGACGATTTCGCTATTAAGAACTTTAACAAATATTTTATAGTTTTTCAAATATTAATCAAGGCGTTGAAATATTGTATAACAGTCGAGCTCATATTCTTTATACTGTTCAACTCCTTTTTTTTTAATAAATAAATCTGAAGCCTGTTGCGCGATTGCTGAGGTGTAATGGAGGGGGGGGGGGGGGGGGGTCTGTAATGAAGGCATGTCTGTAATGGGGAGGGGGAGGGGCCGCGAAAACTTGACCTTAAAACTTACACTCACTATTTTCTTCGAAAATATATGTGAGTTCCACAAAAATGTTTCAGCGCTATAGAACTTGTTGCAGCTGAGAAAGCGTGGCGATTAGAGGGCGGTTTTTAGCCTTTGCGACCCGAATATTCCATAGAAAGAAGCATTTAGGAAGTTTGAGTCGAAGACAAATTTTGCTCAACTCATCGAGATCTATGTACGCTGAATTTCTCAAATTATTCTGATGTGCTGTTCTCCGGAAACATCGAAAAGGGGGGCGTCCCCTTAAGAGACCAATTGACGCTCTTCCGCTCGATAATCTTTCAACGGAAAGGACGATAATGAAATTGTATCCGATTCAAAAATTAGATTTTTATCATTTACTTTTTTTCTAATAAAAGAATGAATAAATATTCAAGATGAACGTCATTGAATAGTTGTTTGAAAATTTTGCATGATTCTAAAAAAGGACGAAGTTCGTTCAGCGATCGAAATCAACTCCCTCTCGAAATCCAATTGTTTCATTCCAATATAGTCATTTTGACTGTCAAGTAAAGCACATTCGTTCTGAAGAAAATGGAATCGGAATCGTTAGAACTGAAAATTTTTTGCTGATTATTCCGGAGCTGTTCAAGTGTTTCATAATCTAAAGTCGGAGAGATCAATCTACGATCACACCAACGGTAAACTATGTCTATTTCTCATAAGTGAATGGAAAGAAAAGCTAAAAAATAGCTAAAAGTTTGACTAAGACACTTGAAAAATTCAAGACTCGTCAAAAAATCACTTTTTCAGATGAGTCATGTTTAGATACACCGATGTGCACTTTCAGAATAATTATGGTTTTGAGTCTTGTCTCTGTTATAACCGTGACTTACCATAAAAAGCAATTTTTCGCCTAAAAAATCGTTTTTGCTGAAAAAAAAATTGACTTTTCTTACAGAGGTCATTCGGTGACGCGCCTCAAGTGATATAACATCACATTGACAGATGAACTCAAATATCTTATTTTTGTTTGAAAGCTAATAATTAGGCCTAGCGATTCTTGTAGCCTTTTGTAGTATATGACCTTCAACAAAAAAAAAAGAGATTTACTTTTGAGCCGAATTTTATCAAAATTTGGCTTTTTACATAAATTTTCGTAGCTTTATTGAGGAAATTTTTTAGACTTAATGCATGTCTCAAGACTAGCGGAAGATGAAAACTTGAAAAAAATACGAGAGTTACTAGACTTCACTGTCTTTTGTTAAATTTGGAACCCAGAATAAACCTATTCAATCGAGTTGGATGAATGCACTTCGAGATGTGACAGACGCGCAAAAATGAGTGTTATAAATATACTGACATAGCGCTAGCCTTACAAAGAATGAGATATAAAAATGTAGATAAAGTTAGCAGCAGATTCAGGTTTTTTGAGAAAATATTCTCAAACAGACTTGTGTCAAAAACGATATTGGTTATGCCAGAAAAAGCAAAGAATATGCTGTAGAATGCTTGACTTTCAAAAGATTTTCATCGTGAGAAACGATTAAAAAATTAGAAACACTACTTTACAAAGACTGATTTTAGTGAAAAAAGCTTGTTAGCGCAGCCCCTTTGGGGCTGAAATGTGGAACTCACATATGCTCTCTAGCCTCATTCAACTAATACAAAATACGTAAACTGAAAAATCTCTCTTAGACTATAGTTGTTTTACAGGATAATCAATCACAAGAGTAAGAACCTCTTTAATTTCTGCATTTCGAACAGAATTTTTTTAGACTTTTTCTATGGGCGCCCTATTTTTTGTTTGCATTGTTGCTATTCGCTCATTATTTTTTTACTTTTTCTTTAATTCGTTTTTCTTAATTTATCATTCTTATTATTATAATCATTGAATTAATTGACAAATAAGTGTGTTTTACATATCTATGATATCTACAGCAGATCTTACACACTATTATATATATTAATCAAGTCACAAATAATGATATTCATTATTTTTCAAAATTATAACTTGATCAATTTTCCAAAAAAAAAACTCTAGAAAATCTAACATCTTTTATTATTGACTGCTAAGGTCTGTAATGGGGGTGGGGGTGTTTGTAATGGGGTTCTACGTTGCTATGGTCTGTAATGGAAGCCTGTCTGTAAGGGGTGGGGGAAGGAGCCGCGAAACCTTGAACTTAAAACTTACAATCACTATTTTCTTCGAAAATATATGTGAGTTCCACAAAAAAATCAATATTTCGGCGTAGCACTTGTTTTATGACGTGTGCCAGTTACGAAAACGCTTGTGCCACCTATGGTGTAAATTTCTGCGAAAAAAACGCGTTCTGAAAACGCATTTTTTCCATAGCTGCGAAACGCGTTAATGCAGACCGGTTTGACGAGTT